GCAGATTACATTACCTGCTCCGTTAGCTGCCAGCAATTTTACGCATTCCCATCCTAAACCAGTTAAACCACCAACTACTATGTATGCTGCATCTCTTCTAAACAATCGCCCACTTACTGCTCTTGTTGGCGGCAAAACTGAAGGGCGACTAAAAGTGATTTCTGTTACAGACAAGAGGCGCATGATGTCAATGGATCGTGGAATAGCAATGCTGGAACGTCTTCTGCCAAATATTCCTGATGTAAAAGACTTTGAGATAATCGCAAGTTCATCTGTTTGTGCCTGTACCCAATCATTAATTTTAGGAACAATCTGAAGAAGCATGGCTGGACTAAACATTTCTCCAGTTCTAAATATCTGCATTGTGACTTGAGGAAGTTTGTCATGTATAACAGCAATTGATAAATTGTCTATTAATGAAGAAATTGTTGAAAGAGATTCGGCATTAGTCCAGTTGGCGATGACATCATGAATTGTCGATTGATTCAAATTAACTAAGCTTACAATTGTTTCGTTCTTTATGGTTTCAATATTATCAACTGACACGGCTTGAACCGTTTTGTTGTAACGGGTTTTCAAAATAAGCGACATTATTCGCATTACAGATTTGGTTTTACTATTGTAAAGAACTGTTACTTCGCGAGAAGATATACTCTGACAAAGGGACCACATAAGAACAATTTTAATCATCAAGCCTGGGTGGTAAACTGGGAGGTACTCGGCAGATATTAAAGCGCTTTCCGGGATGACCACTGTTGTCCCTGCTTGAGTCGGATAACACGAGATGTACTTTTTATTTGACTTTACCAGATACCCAGAGGCCTCCAAACACAGAACTGGATATGCCGAAGAAACGTGTGGTATCTGCAGAAGTTCAACATTATCGATGCAGGTGCTGTAGAGCGATGTGTTTTGAATGGCCAACGTGTCAACCTTGAGTAGTACATCCGAATGAGAAGTGGGTCGTGGTTCCTCGGCGTATATCATGAATGGGTTAACATAGTCGTTATTTGTTTGTGAGAATAATTTGACTTCGCATTTTTCATCCATGTCTACGTCCCTATATTTAGTTTCCATGCCATCAGCTACATTTAGAAACTCCAAGCTGTACAGTGTGCTTTCTGATATTATAAACTCGGCATCTGCTATAGATTCTCCATCTTCTGGACAAATGAAATTTACCACATTAGTTAACAAGATATCCAGGTCGTTTTCATAGTTGCCGCTCATGTCTACAAGTTTTAGGTTTAAATCGTACAGCTCTCTCCCTACGGATCTCAACATACCCCATAATGCAGCAGCGGAAGGTGTGTCAGCTGACACCTTTTCACTATCGCCTCTGTAGTTCTGGATCCAGGCATCGGTAGTGATTATAAATAACGGTATAACTATACGGTTTTCTAACAAATAAAGAACAAGTTCTCGAATCTGCATACACTCATCCACAATACTATTAAAGACTGTAGATGTTTTTTCAAAATTAGAATTGCCCTGATAAGATAAATATATAATCGCTCTCGTGCTAGATAGTTGATTTATCAGGTTAGAAATCTGGTTAATGACAGGTTCCGTTTGCTTAAGATTGACAACATTTGACCCTTTTAGTTTGTGTTTCTGGGAATTGTTTAATACCAACAAACTGGACCAATCTTTTTTCTGCGAGTCAGATGATGAAAATGTATTTAGTTTTCGCCAATGAATGTTGTACATCATCTGTTTTTCTGTTGAGGCAATACCTAGATTTCGAGTAATGAAGTTCCGAGCCTCGGCGATAACATCTCCATCTTCAGTCATCAGTGTAATATCATAATGGGTTGTTACTTCTGTTTTTTTGATGATTCTCCCGTAGACAACCATACTGTCCTGTGGGGATCCTTTAATAGTAAGATTCCCGATCTGAACTGGGAGGATTTCCATTCCTGGCCTATTATCATCACCACGACCCTTGCCGATTCCACCCAACACACCTGGAGTCTGCAACATGCCGTCGAGGATTGCAGGATGTAAAAAAGTCCCTATCCGCTCTTCTCTAATCTCTTCTGGAAGACGCATGTGTACGAGACATTCAGTTTCGTTACATACAGCATCGGCTAGAACACGGAGTGGTGTACCATAGGAAAAGCCAAGTTGTTTTAACTGTCCATAAATATCTTCGTGTGAAAACTCATAATGACACCGGTCCCGGATCTCATCTAAATCTAGAATATCTCGTTCATTGTTTTCAGACCAGGATATACAACCAACGGCTAATGTCTGATTTTCTCGCACAACAGTGTAGTTAGTTTTTTCTTTTTCACTTCTGAAGTCTTCTTCCACGTTTGTTTTAACATCTAATTCTACGCTTTTACCCGGATATAGAACGAGGGGCTGCTTGAAAGTAATCGAAACAGCCATTTCAGCAACACGTCCGGTTGTCATGTGTTCTGCTATAGCTAAACCAACCTCTCCGTAAAAAGCGCCAGGAATAAAGATGCTGTCCATGACAAAATGCTCATATACAGACCCTATCCTGCTGGGGCTTATCATGACTTTGTAACTTTTGCTTTCTCCAAGAATTGGCCTAAGGAATGGATGCGCATCACGGTCCATATCTCCTCCCATCAAACTTAGTTTTGCCTTTTCAGGTATAAGGAGGTTAGATTTTGGACTGAAAATATATTGTGGTATATCTGTTACATTCCCTATTTCACCATTGACATTTTCCCAGTTTGGATCAATTCCATACACATACAACTTTGCTAAATTCTGCATCATACATTTAGCCTCGTTTTCTTTCTTCATAGATATCAGAACACTAGAGTGGTCAGCTTCGAAATTGTCCTTAGAATGGGCAATGAGTACAGGTTTTGACCCAATCTCAAGAAAAATATTGAAACGATCTTGAGTTACAGCATCCTGGAGTGCCTGTCGGAATAACACTGGTTCTCTTACGTTTTTTGCCCAGTATTCTGCTGTTATGAAATCTGATTCTATAGCTTCTTTAGCTGATACTGTTGAATACAGTTTGACATCAGGTTTTGAACCCTGTAATCCTGACAGATCATCCTTTATCTGGCTGGAGCACTCTGTCATGTGATGACTGTGGAAAGCGCTGGTTACCACCAAATCATGTAGCAACATCGGAGTATCTAGATTGTCGCGTATCTCTTCAAGTCTCAATTTTACAGCTTTAATAATATCACAATCGCCACTTAAAGTGCAAGATATCGGACTATTATGGACAGCAATAACGATTTTACCAGGATATTCACCAATGATTTGCTCAACTTTAGTAACCTCATAATTACTCACAACAAGCATAGACCCACCTGTGGCATTCGCTTGTCGATATGTTCGATGATAAATAACTTTCACTGCATCTTTTAAAGACAGGGCTCCTGCTGAATGTGATGCTGCTACTTCACCAACTGACTGGCCAATAACACAATCTGGATTTATTCCCCAGTATTTCCACACAGCATCAAGAGCAACCTGACATGTAAATGATGCAATTGGGCCGAAATATGGATCTGTTGGATCAAAACTATCCTCAAATCTTTGAGAAATCGACCAACCGGTCAATGGTAACAGTAAAGCATCTATTTCCATAATCTTCCGGTAGAAAACCAGGTTAGTTTTCATGAGCTCCTTACACATACCTTTCCAAGTACTTCCCATACCACCAAACACGAATATGACATATTTCTTCTTTTGAAGCGCCTTTATCGGTCCCTTTTCAATGTCGGTCATGCTATCCAATTGCTCTATTATGTCTTCCATTGACTTGGCGACTTCAGCAATCCTAACTGGATAGTGATCTCTCCTTTCAGTTGAGGTAAAGGATACGTCGTTTAGAGAATGTAAATGTGACTTCGCATGTTCTTTGAAGTGTTCAATACTTGCTTTAACAGATTTATCATCAGTTCCCGAGAAACAAATAAGTCTCAGCTTATCGGTATGAGAATCATTTAGGTTGACAATTTTTCGTTTGGTGTATGATTTGACGATAGCGTGGCAGTTCGTGCCACCAAAGCTAAAAGAGTTGACACACGAGAGTTTTGTTCCGTCATTTGTGAAGCTTGGCCATTTGTCAAGACTTGTTGCAACTATAAGTTTAAGTTTTTCGAAGTCAATTTTTTCATTCGGTTTATCGAAATGAAGAGTTGGAACAATAGTTGAATGCTTTTGCATCAGTAGAACTTTAATTACACCGGCTACTCCTGCAGCTGACTCCAGATGCCCAATGTTAGTTTTAACGGAGCCAATATAACGTGGAGCATTCTTGGTATGATCTGCAAGGAATCCTCCTAAACAGTTAGCCTCAACGGGGTCACCAGCCTGAGTTCCAGTACCTATTGGAAATACAATAAATCTTTTAGAACAGTGTATGAATTTGATACTGATATTAACATACCCATTCTTGCCACGCAAAGCACTTAAAATGGTGTCTCGCCCACCATGAAATAAATAGTTTATTTTGCCGTGGTGCAGGGCGTATGACCTTGCAAGGAACAGTGTTTGGATGGGACGAAAAACTGACGAGCACGTAAAATAACCCTTGCCAGATAAAATTCGAAATATGACTAGATCGTAGCGCCGATATGCTGGCAAAATTTCCCCCGTAGAACACTGCATGGCACATGTGCGGTTGGTTCATTTCATTTATAGCATCTAGTGTGTCATCAAGAAGTGTGACCGGCAGACGGACCGGCGTACAGACAGGTGACAGCAATATTTGACCACATTAAAATGTAAGCCTATAAATATTGCTTGAGGTTGGCAAGGCGGTAATTGAATCATAATAAATCTTGTGAAGTACTCTTTTAGAGATACTAGAAAATATTGCCTCACCATGAGCTTCTATGTATTCCAAATGATCAGGATCAATATTATATCTGCTATAAACTTTCTTCAATAATTCAAATTGTTGACTACCAGAGGGGGCTGTCATGGGCGTAACTGAGTGTCCATCTTGGTTCGACCCAGTCATAATGGTCGCCCATATTGGGTCATTATCACGTTCAGCCTGTAATACGAATTTTAGAAAGAAATTAGGATTATATTAGTATTAAAAGTTTTAAGAGTGAATAAAAATAAATCTTAAAAGAAAAGAAATGTATCATTACTGCTTTTCGTAATCTTTTGCTTTTTATATTTTATTTGAGCAAATGCTTGTGATAAAATGATTATTACATAGCTAGTAATTTCAAATGTTAGTGCCTGCATGTAAAACACTCACGTCTTTCAGTCGTTTCAGTAGAAGAATCCCGGCCCCTTCACCCCTTGCATAACCATCCGCTTTAGAAGAGAAGGCCTGGCAATAACCAGTAGGGGAGGCCATTCTGGCCTTACTTAGCTGGACAAATATCTCTGGAGCCATCAATGAGTTAACTCCCCCTGCTAAGGCCATATCACAATCACCTGTTTATATAAATGATACTCTTAAATTAAACACAAACACAATTGATCTTCGATTGTTGTAGTTTCGAATGTTAAAATCCAATTTATTAATATATGAAGAGTCCCGGGGAAGAACGATCCAAGTCACCTTTTCAATGAACCCCAGTTAATGGCGCCATCTGGTAGCAACTTGTATAATCTTTTTGTGGAACAATCAATTTCAGGTGAAAACGATTGGAGTCACATCGAACCAAGGCCCTTCTGAAATGGCGTCCCAGACAAATACAAGTCCGTCGTATTTATTTGACCTTAAAATTTGGCTGAAAAGTGGAGGTCGGTTGTTGTACTGGTAATTATGATTCCCATTAAACATCATTTTGAAGTTGTAGTTAAATCCATTCTTTGTTCTGTTTGCGTCAAACAATCTCGACAAAAAGTATGTTTTGCCTTTTATGCTAAAATACAAAAATGTGACTTAGATCGTTCTTCCCCTAGACTCTTCATATGTGATCAAACACGTTATATACACTGCTAAAAAAATAGGGGCTATTAAATTTTTTTATGTCCCATAACCATGATAGGATATTCTTCTATGGATTGTGGCTTCTCTTGGAATTCATAAACGGTTGTTTGAGGTTTGGGCACCGGTTTGTTGAACAGCCAGAGATGATTCCCTATATCTGCTATCGCAGGGGTTCGGAAATTGTGTGGGGAGGTAGGACTATGACGGGAAGGACAGATCTGAATAAGCGACTACTACCGTGCCAGCACCATTACACCTAACATCCTTTACTCAACGTCATGGTTGGGCTTTTGTGTTCCACTATGACAAGACTAGTTGTACATCTATGGTATAAATCTATCAAGGTTCTTGGCGATCGGTAAAATCAGGTCGTCTTTCTGACTTTTAGTATATGCGACACCCGTGCAATACCCTGTTGGAAGATAGGGATGGTTCTACCGGCTACTACTACTACTACTAGCTACTAGACAAGTCTGACTTTGCCCCATATAACGTCGGGGGAGCTCCGCTAACTCTCGTAAATGAATGAACCGGTCAAGCGCTCAATAGTAATAATAGTATCAGTGTTTTTTTACAGATTGATTTGCTATCAACAGGACGACAATTGCTTTGCCCAATATATTCTTGAAATGTGATGACTAAATTTTTATACGTCAACATTTGCATGTGGACGCATTATGTCGTCGCCCTTGTTCGTCACAATTTCTATCCGATTTTAACGAAGTTTGAAATATAGGTTTATATTTAAATATATTTATATTTATTTCGATATCAGCATATATTGGACCGTACTATGGCCCCTGATTGTACGAAATATCACGATTTTAGCTTAAAATGTATGTTTACAACCCAAAGGACTTGGCTCCTTTCGATATAGGATCTTATCGAACTAACATATCTTCCCGGATTATGGCCCCTGATTGAACGAAATTTCGCTTTGTTAGCTTATAGAACCTGTAGAGGTTACAATTTGATTTTAAAAACGGTTCACGTATATCACCGTTACCCCATAATGACGGTATAGTTCAAATTTCGTAAATATCGGAACGAAACCTCCCGTCAAAATGACCCCTCGCCTGTACACAAATAGTTTTAAAAAATGTGATATCAAGGTTGTGGGCACTCTAGAGGTCTTAATTGTTTTCCGATTTTGACGAAACTTGAAATATCCCGAGGATCCCGGCGAAGTCGGTCTTTGCGGTGTATGAGGGCCTCGCCCTCCCCGAGAAAATTTAACCGCCGCAAATGCTTTTTTCTGCTTTTGAAGCCAGTGAGTTAAGCAACTTCAAAGTTGTCCAGTGGTTTTGCAACGGAATTCCAAGTATCCAATCAGACTGTTGCAGCTGCATTCACAAATAATAATCGATGCCCGAGAAATGTCCAGACAAATGTTTTCATCCATAGTCAATTCAGTACAAATTCGCGGTATACAATTAAAAAGAAAAGATTCCGTGCACTTTAGTTTGCTAACTAGATTTTACATTAATTTTTTTTCGATTTGCCCTACTGTCCGAAAAATCAAATTGCTCGACAGAAAAGGTGGGCGGGGGGGGGGGGGGGGCTCCTGGCTTTTACGCCTATTTGGGATATATATATATATATAGAACAACAACTCACTACAGCTATATATATATATATATATATATATATATATATATATATATATATATATATATATATATATAACCCAAAGATCTCGGTTCTATCTCTTGTAAAATGTGGGCTTATCTTGCATGGCAACCGTTTTTTTTACACGAATATCCTCTTGTATTTAGTATATAATTTTTTCTAGGATATGACTAATTAGCCAGAATTCTTAACAAAGGGTCCGATTTCGATTCGATCCCACATAGCTTCATAGAATGAAGAACATGCGGTGACAAAATCTGATAATAATTGATCTAATAATTATTCTCTTGAATCAACATTACCTTCTCTTAGAGCTTGAGCAGCAAGATGAATAGCTAATAAAGATGATGAACAAGCTGTATCTAAAGACATAGCAGGTCCATGAAGATTGAAGGCGAAAGATATGCGTGCAGCTACAATACTGGTAGAGGTTCCAGTTAAGGTATAATTATTCATATTTTCACTGTTTGAGGATTGTAAACTTTTGTAGTCACTATTCATAACACCTGAAAAAGAAAACATTAATTGATTCCCTTAGCTCTGAAATATTCGCGTGACTGCAGTATGTTCGGAGATAAAATATTGTTAGGGAAAAAGGGCATTTTAACTAGATGATAGATATTTCATATTAACTGAACATAAACTCCTTAAAGATGTTACCATACGTACTTGCAATGTAAAACAAATCGGCGAAAACGAAATGAATGATTTTTTGTCCAGCGGACATATCATAAAGAGATATGCTGTACCGGTTGTTACATGGAAGCATGCAAGCATTCTTGATCAAGTAATAGCAGAAGACTTACCTATATAGACTCCAGTATTAGAGTCATCTATACTTTTTCGTGTTATTCCAGCATTTTCCATGGCTTTAAAACAACAGTCTAATACAAACCTCTGTTGAGGATCCATTTGACTTGCTTCAAAGTCATTTACACCATAGACTTTATTATCCCAGGAATCATGGCTGAAAAAATGATGATAATAATATTCAAGCAGGGACACAGGTTTGATTCATGACCCGTGGAACAACCCTGGACTTGTCTCAAACACTTTCTTAGATAATTTTCTAAATTGTGACATTCAAGGATTTTGTTAACCCAGTCGCAAAGCGGCAAATTTCTGCGATTTACGCCCTCGAATCTGGATTAAAATCTCGAGCAGACTTAATTTTTACATGGTTAAATATAATTAGACACTTGAAATGTACATTATATCAAGTGATATTTCGTTTTCCGAATCTTCTTTCTAACCATTTTCTGTGGTAGCCATTTTAGTTGACCAAGGCGGAGTTTCACAACCTGGGCGGTAAGCAGCGAAGTAGTTTTACAACCTATTAAATTGTCCCATTTAATCTACCTGTCAATCGAGCTCAGATTAAATATCCAAGTTAAGCAACTTCAAAATTTCCCATCCTTTTTTAACCGAATTCACACTCTATGCCGACCTGAATTCCAACCATCCAATCGGACTGTTGCAGCTACATTCACAAAAAATAATTGAGTAGAGTGACCTCAGACAAAATGTTTTAATCCATGGTTAATTCAGTACAAATTCGTGGTATTCAATTAAAAAAAGTAAAATTAATGTTTCATTAGATTTCGGGCACTTTATTTTGCCAACAAGATGAAATAATGATTTTTGTTTTCACTTTACCCGAAAAGTCAGATTGCGCAAAAGTTAGGGAGTAGCTGCCCCCCCCCCTCACGGGCGGGCTCGTACGTCTATATAATTTAAATCTCAGTCGGAATAATGCTGGCAATACTGGTTTGAATGTCCATTACATTAAATGGTTAAACAAAATTACATATTCAGTTTAGTTCTATGAACAAGGGGATAATGTATTTGTATTTTCCAATAGAAAATAAACTGTCTTAGCTAATAAAACGCTATGTGTGTGTTTTTTTATTGTCTGGAAAATCGCCAACCTTTCTTTCGAAATTCCAATATTTGCAACAGTTTTTTGTTTATCCTATTTTTGTCCATATTTTATTCTGTTTGCATATCAACGTAAATTTGGGAAACCCGGCCTTTATTATTAACATATACTGCTTCATACGCGATCCCTTTAATTGTGTCGTGACATTGGAATGAAAATAAAATCATGTTCTTATAACTCAGAATAACTGTCAATTATTTAGCAGATACAAAACCAGAAAAAAACACTTGTGGCCGGTTTTTACGTGTCAAAGCTTGTATATCTGGGGTGTTAAAAAGTAATGAAAGCAGATGTCATTTATTATGTTTATAGTTGCTGCTTTTTCTACATAAAAGTGTCTCCGGTACTCATAAAATCATTTTTTGACGTTTACTACTTTAAACAGCTATTCATGCATTATTGTTTATATCATTTTTATTTCATACGTCAGTCATTCACTTCATGTAGGCAATAAATATAGTCTTATATACAAAAATATATATGTTAGATAAGATTCACTCACATGTTATATAAAATCCCATACATGTTATATAAAATGCCACTGCCGATAACCGCGATGTATATACTGCATATGAACGGAGATTCATTTTCTCATTGTCCTTATAAAATATGCGGTGTCTGTGATTCTAACAAAACGGTGACCGGCGAAAAATTAGGGATAATGCAACTTGATGCTCGGGATTCCTTTATTTCCCGCGTATTTTTTTTAAATTCTGCTGTAAAAATTAGAACCACCGGAAAATTCACAACGAAAAGTAAAAATGCTATTTGCTGATAATTTAAGAAGGCGTCTATTTTAAATGCCATTTAAAGTCAGCAATTCATGGCGAATACGGCAAGTGAGAGCTCTTAGCTCTTTCAAGTCGCGAATTACCACGACTGTCGAATCAGAGTCGTTGATTATATAAATCATATCTGTAATAATGTAGGGAAACATATCAATTGTTTTAGATCATTAAAATATCATATAGAAAATCATCTATACTTCTTTCATTCTACCACATTTTGATTATGCTGACGTAATTTGGGCTGGTTGTTCAAACAAACTAGTTTCACAATTAGAAACTTTACCGCCTAAGACATTGTAATAATCTCGAAGAGTACTTTTGTAGAACAAACATTTTTTCAAATTCATTTATTCCGTCGACGATTAGAGAATGGAACACATTGGAACCCTAAGTACAAAATTCAAATTCTGTCTCATCATTTGTTTCAAGCTTGATTAAAAACGACCATATTATTCCACAGTACTTTTATATTGGAGATAGAAAAAATCAAATAATACATAGTAAACTGAGATTAGGCTGCAGCGATTTAAATGGCCATAAGTTTTTGAGACATTTAACGGATAGCCCCGCCTGCGCGTGAAGATTGTTATCATTATTTACTAGTATGTTCCTTGCATTCAGGTGCCCGAGGTCAAACTATTGGTTTATTAAAGCAGCAATTTCAAGATATTAGTATTTTATTAAATGGTCAGATTGTCCTCTCAGTTGATCAAAATCAGTTCATTTTTAACACTGTTCATAATTTCTTAAAATTGTCAAAACTTTTCTAACGTCCAAATCATCCCGTCTTTTATTGATTTATTTACTCTATACATAATATACCAAATAATACTTCACGTTTAGATAGGTCTTATATGAAGGGGAGGGGGTTTGCGACACTACTACATTGGTACCATATTAATATAAAGTAACGGAACGGACAACCGTATATATGTATAAATGTTTAGTAATTTTATATTTTGTATTTTTATATGTTCTTGTTGTATATATGTTCTGTATGTACATAAATTAAACTTATTTTGTAAATTTTGGAGAGGAGTCAACATAGGCCCAGCCTGTTCTCCAATCCATTTTCAAATGAAATAAAATACTGTTTACAAAAGAAAATCATATTATCACGTATTTTACTCAGCTAAAACAGATCAATGTGCTTTTTATGTACAACAGGATTCAAAATGCGAAAATCTATATGAACATTCGGACAATCTAACTGTTGTGATTCTGTTTCGCTGCTTGGTAACCTATCTTATAATCCGAGTTGTAGTTTAAATAACTTTAACCTTTATCTGTAGTATAGTTTAAATAATTTTAACGAATTTTAACCTATATCTGTAGCATAGTTTAAATAATTTTAACCGATTTTAACCTTTATCTGGGGTATAGCTTAAATAATTTATAATTTTAAAATTTAATTTGTAATTTCGAACCTACAATTTTATATTTTGTATTTTAATTTCCATTTTGTTAGATAATTTATAATTTCCATTTTTGTTTTTTGAAAAACAATTTCTATTTTTCTCGAGCAACAGGTAATGGCGCTCGCCTGTACGACGTAGCTTGATATGCGTCTCTGCTCTCCGCCTGACAATGGGCGATAATTTCAGAAGAAATTAAATAAAATTATTGAATTTAAATAGGCTTCTTTATCTCACTAATGTAAACAACACATATCAATTTCAAAACAACCAGATGATAAATGTAGTCTGTAGAGTGTTCACAAGAAATTGTGGACGACGGACGAACCAACGGACGGACGGGGGCGTCGGCAATATACGACCACTTTTCCATGTGGGCATAAAAAATGAATTAACAAAATTGAAAACAAATTTACAAAATTGAAAACAAATTTACAAAATTGAAAATAAATTAACAAAATTAAAAACAAATTGACAAAATCGAAAACAAATTTACAAAATTAAGAATTATTTTAAATATTTAAGAATTATAAACATTATTTTATAAAATTAAACATTATTTTATAAAATTAAACATTATTTTACAAAATTAAACATTCTTGTACAGAATTAAACATTCTTTCACAAGATTGAACATTATTTTACAAGATTAAAATTAGAAATAAAAAAAAGGAAACGATATATTTCAAAATTAAAAAATTACTCTACTGAAAAAAGAAATAGGAAATTAAGAAATAAAAAAATAGTTTGTATTTGAGCTTTTCTAAAAATTATATGTTTTTTTACTTTCAAATCGTAAAATAGAACTTACTTTTTAATGAAGCCAGCTCTCCTGACATATGTTTTCCCGGGGGCATTAGGGTCTGGGTCGTAGAAAGCTTCAAGATTCCATCGATCACTTGGAACCTCCAATACGTGGTTCTCGCCATTTTGTAAAACCCGCCAAAATTGGTTAATATCGTCCGCCCCTGGGAGTTTACACCCTACTCCTATGATGGCTATTTCTTCCATTTTCACAAATTCTGAAAGCAAATTTCAATCTTATTTCTTATGTCTTAATATCTCTAATTTGGTTTCATTTCTTTTTATAATTATAAAATTTAGTTTGATTATTTATATTTTCCAAATTTCATGTCTGACTGGCCTTCTGTTATACTCACGGTTAAAGTAAATATCCAATGATTGCGACAGGTCACGGCTGAACTCCAAGTTTGTGTCACAATGTCAGATGTTTTTTTATAGATTGATATTTATATCGCCGTGTGAATTTATCTGTCAATCATATTTGAAATGAAATATAGTTCAACGTCCTTCTTTCCTGTATCAAGTCGCCATATTGTTGTAATCTATTTTTTGGTTGGTTCGTAGAATCATGCTACGATCAAGGGCAGATACCCAGGGTATTAAGTTTAGGCGACGGAAGAATTATTGTTAACACGTTGCTCCTACTAATAATACAGTACTGTTGTGTTTGTTTTAGTGATTCTACATATTGCTGCAACAATTCCAGGAGTTAGAAAATGACAATGGGCGTCCTTTCGTTTGCCCAAAGACGCGTTCTATCACAGAACTGGGCCGTTTATTAAATCTTTTTAGATTACGGGTCAATCTTCCAAAATTATTGTGTGGAGTCATAGGCCATGGCTGATATATGCATCGGATATGACAGCTACTGATGGCTCCGATTGTTCCGGGAATTTTACAATATCCAGCAAACAGTCAGAAATTTCTTAAACTTCACGGGGTTATGGCCATTGAATAGCTATTTTCATTAGATTGTTTATCATCGCCTTAGAAACTCTGCATATACAGTGCGTTGATGATTTAGATATTCCAAATATATTGGATTGTGAACGAAATGGATTTAGGGTAGCAATATGCCACAGAAACATCATTGCTTTTTTGGGAATTGTTACCGGTGTGCGACCATAACCTTGCTCCCCTAACTGCAATTCTGCAATCTGATTAAAATAAAGATCTATATTTCGTTTCGTTTTTTTTTATACTTCCGATGGCCTACACTAAATGAAGATCTGGCCTACACTAAATGAAGATCTGACCGGTTGTACTGTAAGGTCATGTCGGGGGTCGTACGAGCGGCTTTTCATCCTATGACGTCAGACATTCATTAAGCAATCAGCGTTGACTTTTCTAGTGTTTACCCACAGTTCCGTACATCAAACGCCAAGAAGTCGCCGTAACAGATGGTTTCATTGGCTAATCCCTTACGCTATCCAGAACGCAGGTTATATAACAACTCTTCCATATCCTAGTGCAGTAAAGACAAATAAAACGAAATTTTGAATTTTAAAAAAAAACGAAACGAAATAGGACCCGTGTTTTAATCAGATTGACCATACTATTAAGCCATGGTGTTTGTTAACAAAGTTATCAAACGTTACATTGGTTAAACGAAAGTGTGATTTAAGGTCTTCTAGGGATTGTAGAGAGACTGTATGTTCTGCATACTATTATATCCGTGGATCTTTATTTTGCTTCTCCTGATTTAATAGTTCCAATAATTCGCTTGCAGGGTAGGGGTCTTTAGCGGTGGGAGGAAACCGGAGGTCCCGGAGAAAACCCACGAGATTGGGCAGGCAACCCTACTCATTGTCACGTACAACCGGGGAATCGAAACCACGCCAGTTGACTCAATGACAGACCTTATGATAAAACCAGTACGCGCTAACTATTCGGCCATCCAACCAAATAGTTCCAATAAGATGCCAATGAAAAAGTCAGTACCGTATCAATTAATGTTTGTTGGTGGATTATTGTCTGCTCGTCGTTATTTATCAGAACACCGAGCATGATTGTTTGGCGGTGTTATCTTCCATTTTAAAATCTAAACAAAGCGCCCCGACGTTCGATTACCCGTTCCCACTGCGCATATTCGGGGATCCTGGTTGAGTAAGCCCGGAACAAGTAATCGAACGCGATATAAATGCTGGATAGCGAGACTCGTGTGGATACTAGTGTTGTATGGCAAATTGTGTTACATAATAAAATGGCGGCGTTTGCGGAAGAATGTTTAAATGGTTTGATATTAGCTACTTATACTGTTTTCGGCTCAGGAAGATGATAATCAATGGACAAACGAATGTCGGCTATGCGTCTACTTTTCATGGGAAGAAACCATCTTTAAAAATTAACATTAATTTCCGTTGAGAGCTCAACGATATGACGTCATACAGCGAATGCCTCCGTCAAATATAGCACAATTTGATTAGCCGTTACATAAACAAGTGGTTCATCAGACCATTTGTATGATGAGTTTGTCCAATGCGACCCTTGTGTGGGTTGATTTAATACTGTAAACGCCGCTTAAGTATAAGATTATGTTATATAAATGTTTACGCAGCACATCGTGTTAACTTTTAAAAATGGCTATTAATATCAGTTAATAATAAACTCTAGGCTAGTCTAGATCTTAGAAAACAACAGTTATAAAACCGCTGTTATAAAACAACAGTTGTTATATAAACATTTTCATGACACACGTGTAAGTTATAGCTGACAATTTATATCTATATTTAAACTATCTTATATATTTCTGAAGGTTTTTTTATATGATAACCATCAATCAAAATATTATGTTATTGACGTCACCGTTCTGTCTGATTCAAATAGCCTACCATGAGTTAACTAGATTATGTATGACCGACCGCGACGCGTTAGGACGTAAAATGATTTTTAGTTGCAATCGAGTCATAATCCATTCGCCCTTAAAAGCATTTATGGGAGGGTTTGTGGGCTTTTGTGTGGAATTTTTCACCACAAGAGTTACAGAACATATAATGGACTAAATAAATCTCATTAAAAACTAAAGTCTGTGGACATAAAAAAATGTTCTTCTCCGACCACTTATCTCGGCGTGTGGTACTACATTCCGCAAGATTTTCGACTTATGATAGCGGGTATCAGTCTGTGGAGCTTATCACCACAAGATATGATGTGTGTGTGTGTAGGGGGGGAGGACTGAGAAGAAAGTTTTGAAAAAAAAGAAGATTTTCTGAGTCCCAGTATCTTGTGGATCTCTTGTGTTAAAAAAAACCCACAACAGACCTGGGGGGGGGGGGGGGGGTAAGATTTTGAAAAAGCACCTCAGACAAAAAATATTTTATCAAAATCCTGTGGAATGTGGTACCACACAGGGAGGTAGGAGGATACGGGTCGAAAATATTGTGGAATGTGGTATCACACAGGGGGTTATGGGAATTTTTTTTTTGAAAAATTTGATTTTATTTTCTATGTCAAATATCTTGTGGAACTCTTCTGGTAAACAAGAGAACAAAATCTGATACAAGATAATAGGATAAACTATTAAACATACATTATGCAGGTCTTTCTTTAGAACTGTTTTTTTTTAAATTATTAATTAGACATTAATTAACTTATCCAGACCATAATCAACTCTCAATGTCATCGTTAGTCTGCGATATTTACTGGATTAGGATCCGATCTGCTGCCCTATGCCCATTCATGATTAAATCAAGAAATGGATAATCGAGACTATATTTTACCGAGATTTCGCCTAATAGTTTGGATGCAGCTATGGCGGGGGTGGCGCCAGGCAGGGTAAGCTTACTCTTCCGGACACCTGTTACCACTGTTTGTCGTGTATTTTGTACACGATGAACAGTCCATATGCTGATTACACTATTTTGCCTTATTACACTATTTTGCCTATACCGTTTTTTTAGGACTTCGAATTTTGTCTAATGGTTTGGATTGTTCGTACTTGGTTTTATTTTATTTATCGTACCGACTTTAGTAATGTTGATCGAGGCTAAATTCAATCGCTAAATTCCCGGCTCAGAGTGTATCATTTTGACTGAAATTTTCAGCAAATTCCCTTTACATTATCTAGTTTTTAACTATTATAGTGAGAACTACCAGCTATATATCTATCTCCCATAATGTGTCTTTAATGTTCCAGCAAAATAAATATATGATATTTCATAAATGTTTCATGGACCAACTTTTCCAAACGACCCCACACCATGACATATCTAGTTAAAAGTGATTTCAAATATTAAGTTGTTATCTTATTATTCGAATAAAATTAACTGGCAATAAAACTGATTCCATTAAACTAAAGAAAAAACGAGCTCTTTATTTCTCTCCCCTCTAGATATAGGCGGGGAGGCATAACATTTTACCCTAAACAAATTGCAAAAGAAACCAAAGCAGTTTGGTTCAATGATAAGTAATGTATGTCAGACAAAATCATACTCAAATTCGACCGAAGGCAAAATGACGTAATTACCATAATTCAATATGGCGATCTTCAGAAATTTTCGGAAAGCGATTTCTCTAATCAATGTGTTTTAATGGTGGAAGGATAAATAATTTCTTTTTACATTCCCCAAACACAAAGTGGTTGTGAAAGCGAAATGTGCCGAAAAATCGATTTTGACAAAACTAAATTAATAAATGTATTTTCATATGGTGCCGGGCATTTCTTTCAAAATTGTGTGTTGTTTTTTATGATGTACCTTGTAGTTCAATGTACCCTGTAGTTCAGATATTCTCTGACCATGATGCACCCTGTAGTTTAGATAGTGTCTCTAAACCATGATATACCACGTAGTTCAGATAGAATCTATAAACCATGATGTACCTTGTAGTCTCCAAACCATGATGTACCTCTGAGTCCAAATAGTCACTAAACCATGTTTACGTTGTAGATGTTTTAAGGACAATAAATCATATATTATATACTCTTCAAAAAAAAGTAGGGGATATTAAGAAACAATACAAAACTGCGGAAATGCACTGCTGTTTTTATTAGAGTAACCAGTGTATGTTAATAACAGGCCAATTGCCTACACATGAACATAAACAGTTCATATGGGCGGTTTATCTGACGGCTCCATTCAACTCGCAAAGATATACACCGTCAAAAGTGAAAATGGACGTTTTTGATTTTTGTCTTTATAATAAGTAATTGCTCCAACATTCCTCAGACATTCAGCAATTCGTCGTGGCATGCTCCTAATCAACCGCCC